CCTGGGCTCAAGCGATCCTCCTGCCTAAGCCTCCCAAGTAGCTGGGACTACAGGCATGCGCCACCATGCCCGGCTAATTTTTTCTATATATTTTTAGTTGGCCAATTCATTTCTTTCTATTTTTTAGTAGAGACGGGGTCTCACTCTTACCCAGGCTGGTTTCGAACTCCTGACCGTAAGCAATCCGGCTGCCTTGGCCTCCCAGAGTGCTAGGATTACAGGCGTGAGCCACCGCGCCGAGCTGCAACCTAATATTTTGGGGAATTGAAGGAAGCCAGTGGCTTCTGAGGGTGGGTGTTTGGGACTGTAAGGAGGGAGAGACCCCCTAGGACTTATGCGTCAGGGGAATTCATTCAGTGTTTTTGTTTTTTTTTTTTTTTTTGAGACAGAGTCTCGCTTGTTGACCAGGCTAGAGTGAGTGCCGTGGCGTCAGCCTAGCTCACAGCAACCTCAATCTCTGGGCTCAGCGATCTTCTTGCCTCAGCCTCCGAGTAGCTGGGACTACAGGGCATGCGCCACATTGCCCGGCTAATTTATATATATATTTATTAAGTTGGCCAATTAATTTTCTTTCTATTTATAGTAGAGACGGTCTCACTCTTGCTCAGGCTGGTTTCGAACTCCTGACCTCGAGCAATCCGCCCGCCTCAGCCTCCCAGAGTGCTAGGATTACAGGCTTGAGCCACCGCGCCCGGCTCATTCAGTTATTTTTATCTAATAACTATCAACTCTGTGCCCACTGTGGTGCCAGGCCCTGTTCTGGTGCTGGGGATGTGGCAGTGAACCAGACAGACAAGAGTCCTACCTAATGAAAGGACTGGGAGCAACCAGGTCACCAGTGAACTAGACAGTGTCGTCCCCAGCAGTGGCACTTTCTAAACATACAGAGCTGGTGAATGGAGGGGATTCCAATATAGGGGCCAAACCAAGTTCCCCAGTGGATACTGATTCCTGCCACCGTGGCCCTATCCAAGCCACCCACAACATCTGCCCTGCAGTGTAACAATTGGAGTGATCAGTAGTCTAGATCCAAGGAAATGGGTAGAGTTAGGCCCAGAGGCAATGGTTAGAAGATCAAAACTCACCAAAACCAACACTGAACACCCACACAGGAAGACAAGGAGACTTTAAAACTCTTATCCCAAAACATACTCATGGCCGGGCACAGTGGCTCACACCTGTAATCCTAGCACTCTGGGAGGCCGAGGCAGGAGGATCGCTCGAGGTCAGGAGTTCAAAACCAGCCTGAGCAAGAGCGAGACCCCATCTCTACTATAAATAGAAATAAATTAATTGGCCAACTAATACTAAAAGGGAAAAATTAGCCGGGCATGGTGGCGCATGCCTGTAGTCCCGCTACTCAGGAGGCTGAGACAGGAGGGTCGCTTTAGCCCAGGAGTTTGAGGTTGCTGTGAGCTAGGCTGACGCCACGGCACTCACTCTAGCCTGGGCAACAAAGCGAGATTCTGTCTCAAAAAAAAAATAAAAATAAAAACCAAAACATACTCACCTACCGAGTAGTCATCTTGTTTTAACAGAGTACAGTACTGTATAAAAATATCCTCAAACTATAGCAAATCTTCACACTTTGACATTAGATTGTTCTGTTTTTGTTTTCTTTTAATCTTATGTATTGTGAAATAGAGCACATTTAGAAAAATGCATAAAGCATAAATGTAGTTAACAATCCTAGCACTCTGGGAGACCGAGGTGGGCAGGTCGTTTGAGCTCAGGAATTCGAGATCAGCCTGAGCAAGAGTGAGACCCCGTCTCTACCAAAAATAGAAAAAATTAGCCAGGCATGGTGGCACGCACTTATAGTCTCAGCTTCCTGGGAGGCTGAGGCAGAAGGATCTCTGGAGCCCAGGAGTTTGAGGTTGCTGTGAGCCAGGCTGACGCCACGGCACTCTAGCCCAGGCAACAGAGCCAGACTCTGTCTCAAAATAATAAAAATAAATGTAGTTAACAAATACTTACAAATCAATACCCATGTCACCACCATTTAGCTCAAGAAAGAGAGTATTGCCAGCACCCTCAGATCTGTCTCCCAGCCTCAGCCCCTCTCCTGACTTTCATAGTGAGCTCTTTCTTGCTTTTCTTTTGAATTTTACCACTTATATAGGATAGGTTTATATAGCATAGGTTTTGATTCATTTGTTTCTTTAATAGCCAGGAGTTATTCTAGGTCTCATGCCTCATAAATAAGGTGAGAGATCAAGCTGGCTAATGCCATTTTTATCAAAACACGATGTATGCTCTGAAGCCACAAGGAAAACTTTCTTCTGTTTCATGTGAACCAAGCATATTGAAAGAAATTCCAAAAATGTATACTGGTGACATTCTTGCAAAGACCCACCTAGTATATAGCCTTTCCCTGTTAAGCAACATTTTCCCAACTTTTATTTGGTTGGTTTTTTCCTTCCAGGTGGCACTTAGTTTCTACCCTCTGGACACATTTGTGGGAAGGCCTGCACTCAGTGTTGCCCAGCCTGTCCCCAACACAGGTGCCCCCTCCACGTGGAGCGCTTCCCTGTACTGCTGCAGGGGAGTGAGGGTTATCTTCTGGGGGCATGCTGTGAAAACTAGAAGATTTGACATTGACCTTTCCCTGGTGGTTTTCCTAAGAATTCATTGCCTGTCTATGTAGAATAGTGCAGGTTTGTCCTTCCCTTTTAGTGGAAGAATGAGAAAGGTGACCATTTCCAACTCTAATAAAAAGCCTCCTCCAGTGTTTCTTGGGTGATATCAAATTCCTTTCCATTTTTATGTTAGAAAATAGAACCAAATAGATAATTTATTGTTTAGAACAGAAATGCTGACATGAGCTTAGTTTGCCAATGGTCAGGCATCGCCAGGATCTGTGTGAGCGCCCATACATGAATGGTTGGTAGGATGTTTTGCTTGGGCCAAGGTCTTTAAAGTCTCCTGTGTGGCCGGGCGCGGTGACTCACGCCTGTAATCCTCGCACTCTGGGAGGCTGAGGCAGGTGGATTGCTGCAGGTCAGGAGTTCGAAACCAGCCTGGGCAAGAGCGAGACCCTGTCTCTACTATAAATAGAAAGAAATTAATTGGCCAACTAACATATATAGAAAAAATTAGCCAGGCATGGTGGCACATGTCTGTAGTCCCAGCTACTCGGGAGGCTGAGGCAGCAGGATTGCTTGAGCCCAAGAGATTGAGGTTGCTGTGAACTAGGCTGACGCCACGACACTCACTCTAGCCTGGGCAACAAAGCAAGACTTTGTCTCAAAAAAAAAAAGAAATACATATAGAAAAAATTAGCTGGGCATGGTGGCGCATCCCTGTAGTTCCAGCTACTCAGGAGGCTGAGGCAGAAGGATTGCTTGAGGCCAGGAGTTGTGAGGTTGCTGTGAGCTAGGCTGACACCACGACACTCTAGCCCGAGCAACAGAGTGAGATTCTGTCTCAAAAAAAAAAAAGTCTCCTGTGTTGGTAATTAGACTAAATCCACTGAGAGTATATAATATAAAACTTAAAAAAAAAAAAAAAAAACTGAAAACCTACTATACTGTGAAATAATAATGGCATAAAGGGTTAGTAACTGAAGGGGTAATTTAAAAGCCCGTTATCATCTTACTTAAAATGCATTATAGAGATAACAGATTTTTCTGGAGCCAAAAGGGACTTGTTTGTTCTTAAACATCATCCGGTTCATCTTCCTCATGTATAGAAAAGCACACAACAGTTTAAACATACAATTAATTTTTCTGATTATATTTTGCACAGGCTAATATTAAATTGAATTTACATTTCCCAATGACATGCCACCTGATGCTGCCATGACACAAACTAGAGACATACCAGATGGCAGAGATGAAACGTACTTTACACCATCCACACAGCAAAACAATGAGTGTTGATGGTAGATTTGGGGTTGGTTATTGGTCCCTGATCAGGTACCAGGAGTCTGTGCACACGACACATAGGAACCAACAGGATTATAACTGTAGCAGGCATGATATAAAATTACTGAGGATAGGCTGGGCGCGCGGTGGCTCACGTCTGTAGTCCTAACACTCTAGGAGGCTGAGGCAGGAGGATTGCTTGAGCTCAGGAATTCGAGACCAGCCTGAGCAAGAGTGAGACCCCATCTCTACTAAAAATAGAAAAAATTAGCCAGGCATGGTGGCATGCGCCTGTAGTCCCAGCTACTCAGGAGGCTGAGATAGGAGGATTGCTTAAGCCCAGGAGTTTGAGTTTGCTGTGAGCTAGGCTGATGCCATGGCATTCAAGCCCAGGCAACAGAGCAAGACTCTTGTCTAAAAAAAAAAAGAAAATTAGGATAGAAACTAAATTCCCAGCTTCAGCCTTTGCATTTGAGCATCACAAACACAGCAGTCCCTGGAGCAAGAAAATAGTCTGGTATCAACTCAGTATCTCTGCTAAATAGCTTCAAGAAAATTCATTGTACCCATAGATTTGTTTTTGTTTTTGTTTTTTTTCTGAGACAGAGTCTCAGTCTGTTGCATGGGCTTGAATGCAACAAGCTAGGCTGTGCCATGGCGTCAGCCTAGCTCACAGCAACCTCAAACTCCTGGGCTCAAGCAATCCTCCTGCCTCAGCCTCCCTAGTAGCTGGGACTACAGGCATGTGCCACCATGCCTGGCTCATTGTTTTATATATATTTTTAGTTGGCCAATTAATTTCTTTCTATTTTTAGTAGAGACGGGGTCTTGCTCTTGCTCAGGCTGGTTTCGAACTCCTGCCCTTGAGCGATCCTCCCACCTCAGCCTCCCAGAATGCTAGGACTACAGGCGTGAGCCACTGCGCCCAGCCCATGCCCACAGATTTTTAAAGGATATACTTTGCAATTCTCCTGATTTGATAGAAACAAAGTTTTAAAACTTTTGTTTTGCTTTTTAATCTAACCCGAAGGTAATGCCAGGTAGGCATTAGGAGGGTTGGTTGGTGTTTTAAATATTCCATTAAAGTTTTTAGTAATGAAATTAATTTTTTCATCTTGATAATATGTTTCACAGGCTCAGAAAAAAAGTTTGAATCAGACTTCCCCCATTTCTGCTCCCAAAACCGCAGACGGCCTGAGGCACGCGCAGCTCTCTGGGCTCTCGAACACCGCACTGCCAGGTCAGGAGGCTTTGCAGTACGCTCTCCTCAGCATGCCCCTGCCCTCCGCCACCCAGAGGATGCGCCTCCCACCTCCCTATTCTACATGGAACCCTTCTGACCTAACCTTGCTTCCACTTCAGTTATCCCTTTTTTCTATATCCTTTCCACCCAAATAACATGCCACATTGCATTAACTCTAAGATGCCATCCATTGTAAGATGTACCATCATTTTATATACTTCTAAGAAAGAAAAAAGCACTTCTAATTAAAGTATGATACATTAAATTATGTGAAAAAATTTGCTTAGAAACAATGAAATCTGGTATTATATGACACATATGACTTTTTGTAAAAAAGTCAAAAGCTTGAACATTCCATGTCAGTTACCTCTTTGGGCCTCCTTTTCCTTAAATTGTATTTTAGGGTTCTGTAGTACTGATAAATTATTGGCTTGGGGCCTATTTCTCAGACTATGTATAATTTAAAACTATAGCATTTATAGCTTTTATTTACTACTATTTATTTATTTACTTCCTGATTTGGCTTTAGTAACCTCTTCCTCTAGAGCTTGTAGATAAATATACTGCTCTGCTCTCCTTTCTCATCTATAATAAAGAAATCCCTTTTATAGAATGTTCAGTAATCTATATACATCAGGCTCTAGGGATTATACAATAGATCTGATACACTGTTTCTTTTGAACATTGTCTTATGTATTAATTCTAATAGGACAGGATTCTGGAAGGAAAGTTATATCGGCATCCTTAGGAACTGTACAACCACAGCAGGAAAAAGTAGTCGGATCATCTCCTGGCCATTCAGCTGTGCAGGTAGAAAACTATTTGCAAAGCTTCTTCCTAACTGAATGAAATGTAGTTGTGTCATCTGCCTTGTGGTTACTGGCTACCATTGTGTGCACAGTTGGCCCAGTCCCCTATGTGCCCACAAAAGGGTGGCCACTGAAGATCTTCCTGGTGAGCCAGGCCTTGTTATGTTTATATTTCTGGCATGAATGTGATTCTATTTCTGACATGTTTACAGTGCTTCTTTAATTCCTCATTTCCTCATGGATTAATAATGAGCCAGCACCTACTAGGCACTCAAAAAATGTAATTTACTATTTAAAGATATCATTTATTATCATATCAAAGTGGATCTGTTCTACCTAGTTATGCTGAAAGATTTTTTTTTCTATCATAGCAGCAAAGAGTATATTAAGTAGGCAGTCCCCAATGTCTTTTGATCCAACTTTGGCTTTTTTTTTTTTTTTTGAGACAGAGTCTCGCTTTGTTGCCCAGGCTAGAGTGAGTGCTGTGGCGTCAGCCTAGCTCACAGCAACTTCAAACTCCTGGGCTCAAGCGATCCTTCTGCCTCAGCCTCCCAAGTAGTTGGGACTACAGGCATGCGCCACCATGCCTGGCTAATTTTTTCTATATATATTAGTTGGCCAATTATTTTCTTTCTATTTATAGTAGAGACGGGATCTCGCTCTTGCTCAAGCTGGTTTCAAACCCCTGACCTCGAGCAATCCGCCCACCTCAGCCTCCTAGAGTGCTAGAATTACAGGCGTGAGCCACCGCGCCCGACCAACTTTGGCTTTTAAACTTCAGAAAATTTCAAACTATTCATCTAACAAGGAAGGAAAAATTTTTTGTTTTCAGCTAAGAACTTAGTTTCTTCTCCAACAAACTTACCAATTAGGGGACAGGCACAGTGGCCTACACCTATAAATCCCCGCACTTTGTAAGCCCAGGGCAGGAGGATCACTTGAGCTCAGGAATTCAAGGTTACAGTGAGCTATGGTTGCACCACTGCACTCCATCCTGGATGACAGAGCAAGAGCCTGTCTCTGAAAAAAAAAAAAAGAGTTTAATGAAACTTGCTACGTCTGGCCCTGCCTAGAATACACAGTGGAGGATTTGGTCAGGTCTGAGGTTCTGATGTAAGGTATATTTGTTCCCCTAATGTGATGCAAGAAATGCCCTGTTAGATCACACACCTGGACTGGATGTAACAGAAGCTTAACCATGTGTGCTCCTGTATACACTGGTCAGAAGACAGATTAAGTGGTATTTACTGAGTTTACAGATGTTAATGGAGTTGGTACCTACAAATACATTTCTTCAAAACTGTAATGTTGCATTTGGAGGGAGTTAAGGATTCAAAGTGCAAACTGAGTCCTTCTAAGGAACTGACAGTGGAGCTTTCTGTAATCTTAACACAGTACAACTTTGCTACTGGAGTCCATGGACTTGTTTTATTTTTTAGCAGAGCACATTCTATAGTCTTAGAATATGCTCTTTTTAAGTAGTTGAAAACATTTGAAATATGCGTAACTGTATTCTTTTTTCTACCAAAGGGAATAATAAGAGATGTGTTTTGTCTTTAGGTGGATAGTCATTCGGGAGGACAGAAAAGGCCTGCTGCAAAACAACTAACTAAAGGAGCTTTGTGAGTTGTCTTTGGAAATGACTGGTCAATTTTGAACGTTTCTCTAGCTCTCTAATCTTCATTAAATACACTACAGAAGTCAGGTTATAATAATGAGTACATAGTGAGGCAGAAAACTCATTTAATGAAAAAAATAATCAATATATTAGCCTTTTTAAAATGTACTTTTGAAATCTTTTTCTATAGCTTGTTTTCATTAGGACCTATACATATATCAAATGTAGTTTGAGGCTACTGTTTTCTCTTTTCTTCTTAAGGAGAAAAGTTCTCTTTTTAGAGACAGAGAGTCTCTGAGGAGAGTATGATTTGATAAACTCCTGTGTTTAGAACAGAACTATTAGAACTTGGCCAATGGTCAGGCATGGCCAAGGTCAGTGGGGGTGCCAACACATGAACGGTTGGTGGGAACACTGTGATTTTGAGGTTGGGGTCACAGTTTGAGTCCCTTGTAGAGATGGTTAGACCAAATTCCAAACCCTCTAGGGTATATAAAATAAAACTGAAGAACAAAACTGCTGTACTGTGATTAATAATATCCCTGTATGTCTTATTTTCTTTGCATGCAAATAAACATCATGATTAGATTTGATTTCCTAACATGACTCTACATTGACATTGGCCATTTCCCTTTGAAAGCATTCTCCAGCAGTTACAGAGGGACCAAGCCCACACTGTGACACCCGACAAAAGTCAGTTCCAATCACTAAGTGATGCGGTGCAGAGACTGCTCTCCTACCACGTGTGCCAGGGCTCCATGCCCACTGAAGAAGACTTGAGGAAAGGTAAGCAGGCGGCAGCCCTAGAGTGTCACTCTGCCACCAGGCACCCTCCCATGGCAATCCACAGAAGAGCAAGAGCCACCTTACCCCCAGATGATAGACAGGTTATTGTTTTTAATCACAGACCAAATTCATTCCCTATTTACTTAATTCCCAGTCCATGTTCAGGGATGTGACTTATTCTTCTCAATATTTTGTAAAGGGAAGCTAGGCGTGGTGGTACAGGCCTATAGTCCCAGCTGCTCAGGAGGCTGAGGGAGGAGGATCACCTGTGCCCAGGAGTTGGAGGTTGTAGTGAGCTATGATCACGTCACTGTACTGTAGCCTGGGCAACAGAGTGAGACCTTGTCTCTAAAAAAAGAAATAAATATGTTGTGAAGTGGATACCCAATGTCAGAGTATTTTATTGACAAACTGGGGGGCACTGAATCCAAAGCTTCATTTGGACCTCTGGCTGCAGATGGAATAGCTCTAGACTAGGTCTGCACAGCAGTTTAGTATAGTCCTTGCCTTTAGGCAGAATGCATGCTCTGAGCTGATTCTATCAGTTTTATGAATTAGATAAATACTTTACCTCCCAAAAGCATTCCCTGAGGTTCCAAAGTGAGCCCAGGGCGTTGGTCAGACATCAAGAAACTGGCAAAAAGGTTAGGGATAAGAGCCTCTTCTCCCAACCTTGAATTCAGCCCATCCTGCTGCCTGGCCCTACTGCCTCCCCCAGTTGTGAGACTTAGTTCTACTTCTTCCCCCAACCACCGCCAAGCGCTGACTCCATCAGTGTCCCCCACTGCTTTAATCCCTCCCTCAGCCACTGCCAGTCTTGCTCCTCCTGGCTAGGGTCCCTGACCTCAGAGCACGGTAGTTTCTGTCAGTCCACTCTCAGCTTCCCTGGGTTGTCCAGGGAATAGGGACAAGATCCAGCAATTAAATGGGTGTGAAGACTCTAAGAAGAGTGAATTAGAAAATGTAGGATCTTAGAAGACTGACAGACAAAAGACAAAGCTACAGGACCATGACCTACAAGGACTAGTTTGTGTCTTTACGTTAAACTGGTCTGCCCTGCCCAAACAGTCAGACTTCATTGTTTCAACTGTTTTTGGCTTTCATACTTTTGAAAGGGAGTATAGGCTTAGGTTATCTGAACTAGCAAATCTTTCTCCATTAATTAATATTTATTGCTAATCTGTTATATGGTTTTATTTTATAGGTGATGTTCAAAGGTATTATGTTTTTGCTTTCCTAATTAAAGTTAAAATGGGATAATATTATAATGAGTTCCTATGACCACATACCAGTGGGCAGTGAGGGACAGCAGTGTAGAAGGGTGATGTTTAATCAAGGAAAAGCTAATCTGAGAAGAGAAAACTGCCACAGATAAACCACTTTTAAATGATGGAGGCATAATGCGTTGCAGTCTTAAGAAATGAAAGACCTAGTAGGTGATTTACACCCTCTTACTATTTCTCTCTCTCTCTCTTTTTTTTAAAGTGGACAATGAATTTGAAACAGTTGCCACTCAGCTCCTAAAAAGGACCCAAGCTATGCTTAACAAATACAGATGCCTTCTCCTAGAAGATGCCATGGTAAAAGTCATGCTACTGAGCATATTTGTTTTTTAAAACTCCACAGGTCATAAGTACTAAATCAGAGAGAAAAAGTTCAAGGAATTACATTTTCAGAACATAGTTTAAAAGGCACAGATATTTAAGATTATAGTAAAACTTGCACTTAGCTATTACTACAAAAACAGCAGCTAATATTTGCTGTACTTTACTTGGTGGATCAGAACTCTTCTTATTTCACAAATTGGGAAAACTAGAGATTTGGTTAAATAACTTTCCCAAGATCATATAACTAGTAAGTTTGTAGTGTCATTACAGAGCTAGGATTCAGGCCAAGACCATCTGACCCCCAGCCACTGATGCTGGCTACAGCCTTTCACCAACCCAGAGATGTGGGAGAAGCACTAGAGGCCCACCTGAAAAGACTAGCTGATGACAAATGTTAAAATTAGTTTTGTTTTTAATTGAGAGATCATGAACATGCTATCAAATTTACATTTAATTTTAAAGTCTACATCTTGATGGTTTTTACTGTATTCACAAGGTTTTGCAACCATCACCACCATCTAATTGCAGAACATTTTCATCACTCCAAATAGAAACTAAAATTAGTTTTGAAGCACCAGTTAATTAGAGAAAGGAAGAAGTTATCTCCGGAAACGATGGAAAGACCAAACTTATTCTGAGATTTTAGAAGCAGTTCTAAAATCATATGGGCTTTAACCAATAAATTGGTCTCTTACACATCATTTTCGATTTCAGATCATCTTTGAAAATGTACCTTGGGAGATTTGTTGAACTATATTATATACATATATGGTATAGGGTAAATACGTATGTGTGTGTACATATTTACTTAAAATATATATTTACTTTTATATATTTACTTAAAATTATGCCACCAAAGTCTGTAATAGTTATTAAAATTTTTTGAAATAAAACTCTGAGACATCAAAAAAGATCAGCTCTATCGTTGTGAGGAAAGGGCCACTTATTTGGTCAAATTGTCTTATATCTGGGCCGGGCGTGGTGGCTTATGCCTGTAATCCTAGCACTCTGGGAGGCCGAGGCAGGTGGATCGTTTGAGCTCTGGAGTTCGAGACCAGCCTGAGCAAGAGCAAAACCCCGTCTCTACCAAAAATAGAAAGAAGTTAATTGGACAGCGAAAAATATACAGAAAAAATTAGCCAGGCATGGTGGCGCATGCCTGTAGTCCCAGCTACTTGGGAGGCTGAGGCAGAAGGATTGCTTGAGCCCAAGAGTTTGAGGTTGCTGTGAGCTAGACTGACACCATGGCACTCTAGCCTGGGCAACAAAGTGAGACTCTGTCTCAAAAACAAACAAACAAACAAATTGTCTTATATCTGCCTTGAATTTTCATGTTAAATAAGACCCAGAAATATAATTTGATTCGATTGAAGATTTGATTCTGTTAACAGCAAGACTTTACTAAAAAGGAAAGCTTTAATAAAAACACAATTAAGGCACAGCAGAATATAATGTAAAAAGTCATCCTCATGAAAAGAGAGAGTAGGAAAAGGAAGGTACAGAAGAGTATAGTTGCTACGATTTGTGTGCAGAAATAAAGAGGCATATATATGCTGTGTGTACCTAGGCTCTCTCAAACTGCCAGGCGGGCAGCTGTCTCCAGGGAGAGGCACTGGGTGGTGGTGGGTGCACAGGGGAGGCAAAGAAGGGAGGCTTAATTTTCAGGTGCCTATAGTGCCTTTTGAATTCGGTACCTATGTATAAATTACCCTTTCCAAAAAAATATAATTAAAAAAATGCATCCTATATGACTAGGACAAACATGACTACATAGGACATGACTAGAACCTAGACACCAAATTCTCATTTCTGATTGCTTCATTTGTTGCAAAGATGCTGTGGGATGTTTGCACTTGTTGAAAGGCGTAATGACTGGCCTCTCTCGTTTTCAGCGGATCAATCCCTCTGCTGAGATGGTTATGATCGACAGAATGTTCAACCAGGAGGAAAGAGCTTCCCTGTCCCGAGACAAGCGCCTGGCACTTGTAGACCCTGGTAAGAAATGTCAGAGTGAAAGTAGGGAAGGGCTACTGCCATGGTTCAAGGACTGGGGGGCCTTTGGGAATCTGTCTGAACTGAGCTTTGGGTGAGAAACCTGCAGGCAGAGCATGAATTTGGGGGAGAAAAAAACTCAGAGTATATAATTACTCTGAGAAGATCTCTACAAAATCAAACTGGAATTTTACATTCTGTTAAGTGATTCTTTTTCTTCATTGTAAACTTAAAATTCTCAGTCTTTCTCTAGTTTTTAAGAACTAAATTTAGTCAGAAGGCTTCCCAGAAGCAATTAAACCTCAGCATATATTGAATGTCCTGCTATGTATAAGTCACAGCAGGAAACATCAGTGAAACATGGTCCCTGACCTCAAGCCAGTGAATTATAATGCCCTTTGAAGTACTTTTCTCTCATTCAACTACTTTCCTGCCACTTGCATGCATTTTAAATTTGACCCATATTCTGCCCTTTAGAAATTAGTTCTCTTGGCCAGGTATGGTGGCTCAAGCCCATAATCCCAGCACTTTGGGAGGCCGTGGTGGGAGGATCACTTTGAGGCCAGGGGTTCGAGACCAGCCTAGGCAACATAGCCAAACCAAAAAGATTTTTTAAATAGACAAGTATGGTGGCACATGCCCCTGTAGTCCTAGCTGCATGGAAGGCTGAGATGGGAGGATCACTTGAACCCAGAAGTTCAAGGCTGCAGTGAACTATGATTACACTATTGCATTTTAGCCTGTGTGACAGAGCAAGACCTTATTTCTAAAAAAAAAAAAAAAAAAAAATTAATTCACTTTAGTTTTTTCTAGCCTCTAATTTTTTTTTTTTTTGAGGCAGTCATACTGTGTTGCCCTGGCTGATCTCCAATTCCTCAGTCCAAGGGATTTTCCCACCTCAGCCTTCTAAGTAGCTGGAACTACAGGCATGTACCACCATGCCTAGCTAAAATTTTTAAATTATGGAACATAATTCATGGAATATAAATTCTAACCATACATTCACCATCCTAATGAAGGAAATGTTTCTATTTCTCCATAAGTTTTCTTCTAGTTCTGGTTTCATTTACATGCATTATTTATATATAGTTATTATTAGATTGATGCAAAAGTAATTGCAGTTTTGGACCTTGAAGTTTAAATCATTATAACTAGATTCAAATACAACTTTATTAATCAAAATAGGAACCATTACAATCAATACATTTTTGCCAACAAAGAATAAGTTTGTTTATTCCTGTAGTGTAAAAATCTGTGCTTCGGGATTCTACAAACTCTCGAAAAGCACTTTCTGCACCCTGCTGGTTGTGGAAACATTTTCCCTGCAAAAAGTTGTTGAGATGCTTGAAGAAGTGGTAGTCGGTTGGCAAGAGGTCAGGTGAATATGGCAGCTGAGGTAAAACTTCGTAGCCCAATTCATTCAACTTTTGAAGTGTTGGATGTACAACGTGAGGTCAGGCATTGCTATGGAAAAGAAATGGGCCCTTTCTATTGGGCTGCAGGTGTTGCAGTTTTCAGTGTATCTCACCAATTTGCTGAGCAGACTTCTCAGATGTAATGGTTTCTCTGGGATTCGGAAAGCTGTAGTGTATCAGACCGGCAGCAGACCACCAAACAGTGACCACAACCTTTTTTTGGTGCAAGTTTGGCTTTGAGGCCCGGTATGATGGCTCACACCTGTAATCATAGCACTCTGGAGGGCAAGGCAGGAGGATGGCTTGAGGTCAGGAGTTTGAGACCAACCTGAGCAAGAGCAAGACCCCGTCTCTACTAAAAATAGAAAAAATTAGCCGGTCAACTAAAACAGAAAAAAATTAGCTGGACTCAGGAGGCTGAGGCAGGAGGATCACTTGAACCCAGGAGTTTGAGGTCGCTGTGAGCTAGGCTAATGCCATGGCACTCTAGCCTAGGCAAGGCAGCGAGACTCTGTCTCCAAAAAAAAAAAAGTTTGGCTTTGGGAAGTGCTTTAGGAGCTTCTTCTCGGTCCAGCCACTGAGCTGGTCGTCACTGGTCTTCGTACACAATCTACTTTTCGTTGCATGTCACAATCCGATAGAGAAATGGTTCGTTGTTGTTGTGTACAAGAAGAGAAGACAACACTTCAGTACAATGATTTTTCTGATTTTCGGTCAGCTCATAAGGCACCCACTTATCAAGCTTTTTCACCTTTTCCAATTTGCTTCAAATGCCAAATAACCGACCATAGGCAATGGCAACTTCTCGTGTAGTTCTAAGAAGACCAGCTTCGATGATGGCTCTCAATTGGTTGTTGTCAACTTCCTATGGCCCAGCCACTGCGCTCCTCATCTTCAAGGCTCTCATCTCCTTTGCAAAAATTCTTGAACCACCACCACACTGTACATTTGTTAGCAGTTCCTGGGCCAGATGCATTGTTGATGTTGTGAGTTGTCTCTGCTGCTTTACGCCCCATTTTGAACTTGAATAAGAAAATCACTTGAATTTGCTTTCGTCTAACATCATTTCCATAGTCTAAAATAAATATCAAATAAACAGCAAGTTATAAGTCATTAGCAAAAAACATAAAGCAAGAAATGCACATTAAAATGATGTATAAAAAAATAAAAAATAAAATGATGTATAATATAACCATATTTATTTAACCACTTTGGTACAGCGCTTACCGGCCGCGAAACCTTGCCCACAGCCAGCACTCATAATCCGCACGACAGTCTGTGCTGTGCATTGATGACGAATCCGTTTTGCTCTTGTGTGATGAGGAAAGCTTTAAAGCACTGAAAGCTTGTTTTACTTTACAGGCAGCTTTACTTGTAATGTAAACCAGAATAGGTAACATACACATATATGTTTTCATTACATTTTTTTTTTTTTTTTTTTTGAGACAGAGTCTGCGGCCTGTGTGTGCCGAGGGAGAGGAGTGGCGTGGCAGGCCTAGCTCACAGCAACCTCAAGACTCCTGGCGCAAGAGGCGCGCGCGAGCCGCCTGAGAGGGCAACTAACAGCGAGCGCGCGCGAGCCGGCTAACGTTGTATACATATATATTTAGTGCCAATTGATATTCTATTTATAGTAGAGATGGGCTTGCCTCTTGCTCAGTGTTTCAAACTCCTTGACCTCGAGCCAATCTGCCCGCCTGCCTCCCAGGGTACTCTAGACTTACAGGCTTGAGCCACTGCACCCGGCTTCATTACCTTATTTAAAAGTTCAGGCGAGATTTTGGTTGATAAATGAAAAATTAGAAGAAGTCAGTATCACAGCTGTGGCTAACAGTCGACGCTCTGAGCTGTGCGCCGTCATATCATGCTGTCAGCTAAAAGTTGCTGTGCTGTCATCCTGGGTGGCTGGTCGGAACTATAGTCGGCGCTCAGACCGAGAGCAGGCCGGGCGCTGTAAGAACTGGCTATCAGTATCAAAGCAGCCAAATGTCAACAGTGCTAAAACTGCAATTGCTTTTGCACCAATGTAATACAATCATAGGTCATGTGTAAATATGAGTTTGGTATCTCTTCAACACATACGAGAGTCTCCGGTATAATCTTCAACTAATATCTCTTAAGTGTATTTTAAGCATATACACTTAAAATTTAGCTGATTATTGCCCGATCTCACTCGTAGACGATTATTTTCCTGGGCTCTATTCCCATTCCCCAATATCCTTTTCTTTTAAACATAAACTATTTTTTTATTTCAAAATACTAAGGAGAAAAATGTATTTTTTTTTTGAGAGAGGTCCATAATATATTTCTGATGTACTTACAATGTTAAATTCGCATTTTTTGTTCTTTTTGAGACAGAGTCTCACTCTGGGGCCAGGTAGCGTGCCATGCTCAGGAACTGCCAACTCCGCGCAAGCCAACCTCCGTCAGGCTTCCCGAGTTAGCTGGCACTATAGGCATGTACACACACCTGCTATTTAGTAGAGGTGACGCAATCTGGCACTCGATGCTGGCTGGTTCTCGAACTCTAAGCTCAAGGCATCCTCCGCCTTGCCTGCCAGAGTGCTAGCGTGACAGTGAGCCATGCCAACGCCCAGCCCTAAGTTCACATTGTATTTAGGTGTCAAGAAGTTAGCAAGTAGAACTATATGATCGTCAGCCACTCAGTCTAGGAAGGGAGAGCTCTAAAAAGAACAGGCTGCTCTACCTGCCACAATCTTTAGACATATCTGACGACAAATGAAGAGAATGACGTAGGGATCACGGTGGTGGCGAACCGTCAGCCCAGACCTTGAGGCTAGCGAGGGGTAAACATGCCTGAGCCCAGCGAGCAACGTCAGGCTGCGCGAAAAGCGAGAGAAAGCCCGTCGCTTGAAAAAAGAGGGAGAGAAAAAGAAGAGAAGTAAGAAACATATTTCGGCCCTTGTCAGAACCTGAAATCTCAGCCTTTAGGAATTGGCTGTGGATAAACTCTTTTTGTACACAACACCTCAAGAGCTGGGAACACGCAGGACAGCGGCCATGCGTGGATTGTCCTCGGTACTCTGCACAGCCACTGTCAATGGTGCATGAATCTCTGGTATTTTTTTTTTTGTTGAGACAGAGTCTCGCTTTGGTCGGCCAGCGTAGAGGCAGGCCGTGGGCCAGCTGCTCACAAGCAACCTCACCTCCTGGGCTGAGGATCCTCTGCCTCAGCCCCCGAGTAGCTGGACTACAGCATGCGCCACCGCGATGCCCGCTAACTTGTGGCCTGGGAGTATATATGCAGCTTGGCCAATTAAGTTCTGCCGTGTGTTATCAGTGGATAGAGACGCGGTCTCGCGCTTGCTCAAGGAGGCTGTGACCTCCTGACTTGAGCAAGCCGCCCGCCTCGGCACTCCCAGGAGCTGGAGGGTAGCAGGCGTGAGGCCAGGCAGCGCCGCGAATATCTCGGTTAGAGAATCGCACATTTTGGGATTAGGAGACAAAGCAGTGTGGCACGCCAAGAATACTGCGTTTGTTTCATGATGGAGTTCGAGTCCGTCAGCTTGCCATGTATCTAGAGTAACACGGGTTTTCGCTCTTGTGATGACAGCAGGGCCTGCCTGCGTCCCATCTGTACCGCTCCAATCCCAACCCTAGGTCTTCTTCCACCTCTTGCGTTTTCAGGACTGGTATATTCATGCTGTGACAGAACAGTTGCCTCTGGTATCTCACTATCCTTCCAAGCAGATAAATTGGTGCATGCTAAGCAGTTCATTTGTGCTGCAGAAGTTGAGCCAGTTCTTATTTTATGTTTTTATTTTGTTTGAGACAGCAGTCGTCTACTTTGTGCCCAGGCGTAGAGAGTGCCATGGGTCCAGCCTAGCTCACACCAACTCCAAACTCGAGTCAAGGTCCCTGCTGCCTCAGCCTCCCGAACAGTATCTGACTACAGCATGCACCACCGTGCCAGCTGAGTTCCATTATGATATTAGTTGGCCGAATCGAGTTTCTTCTATTTATAGTAAGACGGTCTCACTCGGTGCTCAGGTGTTCGACACTGACTGACCTGCAATCCACCCACCTCAGCTCCCGCCTCTAGACCATTAGAGGCGTGAAGGCCACACGCTGCCGCCGAGGCCAGTTTCGTTTACACCGTGTCTAGAAGGATGACAGGCGAGGGCTTGGAAAAATAAAATAAATAAATAACGGATGAGTCCATGCACCAAGACAAATAGCTGCCAGTTCCACCCCGTGCCGCAGAAGGCCCCCCTTCCAGGGCCTGCTGCTCTAAGACAAGAGACCAGGCGACAGTACTAGCCACCTAATTGCTGTTCAGATTGTCAAGGCATCCAGTTAACCAAGAGAACGAACGTTTTTGTTTTTTGAAACAGCAGTCTCCTTGCGCTGGGTAGAGCAAGGCATCCATAGCCACGCAACAAACTCTGCAGGCATCCCTGCCTCAGCTCCCCAAGCTGGGACTACAGGTGCATGCCACCACACTCAGCTTATTTTTTCTATTTTTAGTAGAGACAGGATCTTGCTCTTGCTTAGGGTGGTCTCAAACTCCTAAGCTCAAGTGATCCTTCCACCTCGGCCTCCTAGAGTACTAGGATTACTGGTGTTAGCCACCACACCCAGCCAAAAAACTAATTTTAAATAACACTTAGAACTAAGTGAAGCTTTTGCCCCTTAGGTTTTCCCATTTGTCATCAAGCAGCTACCTCTTCGATGAGGTTTAAGGTGCCGTCTGGAAGCTCTGGCAGCACAGCCTTGGTTACTCATACAGGAAGCCGTCTCTGTATCATGCTTCTGTATGTGAAACAGACTGACTCAGTGGGCTGGGCTGGGCTGGGCTGGGCTGGGCTGGGCTTGCCCTCAGCACCTGACCCACTCAGGGAATGTTGTATAGTCCTTACTCTTGTTCACTCATTAATGTTCTTTTTGTTCCCATTTCCAGAGGGATTTCAGGCTGATTTCTGTTGTTCCTTCAAACTTGATAAAGCTGATCATGAGAGCTTTGGCAGGAATGACCAGCATGGCAGTAAAACAACCAGCTCTCTACATCTGACGGCCAAAGCCCAAAGCAGGGACCGAGCCAAACCAGGAGTGACCGAACCAACAAATCATGACCAATTTCATCCAGTGCCTAATCACATCGTGGTCTCTGCAGAAGGAAACATTTCTAAAAAAACGGAATGCCTTGGCAGAGCACTGAAATTTGACAAAGTGGGCTTAGTTCAATATCGGAGCACATCTGAAGAGAAAGCCAGCCAGAGAGACCCCATGAAGGCCAATGAGCGCTCTCCCGGCCCTGAAGGGCATCGGAAAACCTCATCCAGACCAGATCATGGTACTGAGGGCAAACTCTCAAGTATCCTGGTAGACTCGCACTTGGAGATGACGTGTAACAATTCCTTCCAGGACAAAACTCTGAGGAATTCTCCAAAGAATGAAGTTTTACACACAGACATCATGAAAGGGTCCGGCGAGCCCCAGCCAGATCTCCAGCTCACAAAGAGTTTAGAAACCACATTTAAGAACATCTTGGAACTCAAAAAGGCTGGGCGGCAGTCCCAGAGTGACCCCACTGTTAGCGGCTCTGTTGAGTTAGATTTCCCCAACTTTTCTCCAATGGCTTCGCAGGAAAACTGCCTGGAAAAGTTCATCCCAGACCACAGTGAAGGCGTTGTAGAAACTGACTCCATTTTAGAAGCAGCTGTAAATAGTATCCTAGAGTGTTAATAGCAGCAGTCCTCCCTGCCCCTGCCCTGAGACCCCGCCCCAAACAAGTTACATTCTTTCCTGGCAAAAGCAAGTGGAAACGGTCTCCTGTCTCCAGCCTGCTTGATCTTTCATCACAGGTTATTCTTTGTAATCTCAACCCTGTTCTTTGTTTAAGAGCAATACTTGTCATGGTTACACGGAGATCCTTTAGTAAAATTAATCCTGTTAGAAAGCAGTCTGATAGGCCCCACACATTTCAAGTGTTATGAAAGTGCTTATAGTCATTTTTTGTTTGTTTATTTGTTTTATTTAAAAAAAAAACAAAAACACTGTAACTCAATGAGACCACAGTATACTTGGCCCTGGGTAAAATTTTGACAATCATAAGTCATTTGAAAAGAACAGACTTATTAAAGAAAATCAAACAGGACTGATAGAAGCTATTTTTAAAGAATATCCCACTGCATCTCCAAATTTGGTTTTATGGGGTTTTTTTGTTATTTTGGATTTTTTGTTTGTTTGTTTGTTTTGTTGGGGGAAGAACACATAGTTCTTCCCCCCCTCAGCCATCTCTGAGCAGTAAGTTGCTGGCTGCTCTGCCAGGGACCCCACAGCCCTGGTGTAAAAGCCAGTAGCACATAAGCAGGGCATTTGCAGGGCTTCCCTGTTGATGATTCAAGTGCTTTTCTGATGCTCCAGGAGCAAAACCTCATGCTTTTCAGCATATCATTGTTGAATTTCATCTAGGGAATGTTCTGTTCTTAGTTGCAACAGCATGACTTGAATTTCACCAGGCTAAATAAAGGAAGATGGAAACTGGTTAAGAGGCACAGTGTACAGGGGAGGCCGGGACAGAGCCATGAGGAGTATAATATGTATATATGTAAAAGCATATATATGTTAACTATTGAGAAAAAACAAGAGTTTTGCATTTTATAATTGGATATAGTCAACATATGATGTATGTTTTTGTTTGTTGCTGGGTTTTGTTTTGTTTAACCTCTTTGCACCGTCTCCCACAACAAATAGCCAAGCGTCAAAAGCACTTTCATTTGAAAACTATATTGTAAATTTTTCAGTTTAAACTTAAAGGGGACTTTGGCCTTGTTTATATTTCTTGTCTGAGAACAGTAGTCACCCTGGCAGCAATCATTACCAAAATACAGACAAACCAAAGGTAACCATCCAGCCCACCACTGAAAAGAAAAGATCTGAGACATGGGATTCCCATTTGAGAGCCAAAGGTTATGCCCTGTTACAGTTTGTTTGGCCCGTATTCATATTAGTGAACATGACTTATTGCTTTATTTATTTATATTTCTTTTCAGGGAGTGTTCCCAGTTTTCCTTTCTTGTATACCTGTCCCAGTTTATCAAATTTCTGTTGTTACTTTCATTCTTAATGTCATTGTAACCATCACGTATCTCCTATCATGGGGAAAGCTACATAATAGTATTTTATACCCATTCTTCTCCCACGCACACATATGCATGAATCTGAGCTGCTTGGATCCAGAGGTCATTTTGGTTACAGTGTGCATGTGCATACTCACTCTTCCTCTTGCGTGCCCACTCTCTCATTTATTCTGTTTATCGCCCTGGCTTTAGAAGTGCATCCACTGGTCTCCACTTTAGTGTTGCCAGGATCTGCTACTGGCTGTCCCCAGCATGGGGATGACCCCCATTGTCATCATGTTGGGCATTCCTTTTCCAGATTGGCCTGTGATGAAAAGGAAGGTTTCTGATTATTGGAAAACAGCAACAGAAGACCTATAACTGACCCCCACCCCTCTGTGCCACCACACAAAAACCCTGCAAAACAGTCTTTCTTCATAATAGCAATGTACCTTCACCCCTGGCCAATAGAATGTGGAAAATATGGGCCATTTTAGGGTTACCATTTTTTCCTTATTTGTGCCAATGTCCAAGTTGCAAATTTCCCATTTTTCCTGTATTGTAACATATTAGAAAGATAAGTTGGTATTGCCAGTTGGAACTTTCTGTTTGGGCAGCCCTGGGGTAACACCCTGCCCTAAACTCCATGATTTCATAGGCTCTTCTTCTCTTAGGGCTCATGCTCCCCTAATTCCTAGCAAGACTTAACAATACTCCCTCATGATCAAATTCTTTTCATTGTGGAATGTTATACCTGGAAGCCTTTATGTGGGCTGCTAATAAGTTACATTAATTACTTTGAATCAGTGGAATTCTCAAGAGACAAGATAAGCTTCATGTACATTTGCCACCTTTCTTCCCTATCCTGCCCTGCTACCCCAATCCTAACTTTTCTACATACCATCTTAAAGGGTTTTTAAGCCCTAACACTTGTCTAGCAAATGGAGAGCCTAATTTACCAAAATGAAACTTGTAAATTTTTGTGTCCTTGTATGTAAGTTTACTTTTTATGGAGGAAGGATTCTAGATAATGACAAAGATTACGAAATGTATTTTACTCCTGTGATTAGGTTATGCGCACATGGGTCATAACTCGCATGTCGAGCCCCCTTTGGTGAAGGGTAAGAGAGCTCAGCCTCAGATGGCCAACATTCAGTTGTTCAGGTTCATTAGTCAAAGTTAAGTTTAACTACTTGTACTCAGTAACAAAAATCATTTTCTTTTTTTTTTTTTTTCTGTTGTTGTGGAAAAGTGTGAATTTGTTATTAAGCATTTGATTTTCTGTGTCCTTACGTACTGCCTAAAGATAAAGCAAATTTTAAACTGGCAATTACGAAAAAAAAAATATTTTAGCTCTGAAGAATTTAGTAGACTCTGTTAGATTAGGGAGGCCTTACAGACTGACTTGACTTAAAGAGGACGCGTCACTCGCTGTCAGTGTGGTGTGGGCTTTATTTGCTTAAATACCTTCATTTGTATAGTATGTCTCACTTGAAATTGCTTTGTATACATTTTGTAAAAATATTTATAAAATGTTTTGTAAAAAAAAGTATAACAAATTGCAGTTTATTTTGTTATGTTGGATAAATACTGTTAAAAGAAACCAGTCAGTAACTATATTGTTAATCCATGGTTAGGAAATGTTTAGTTGGAGATTACAAAATGAAACAACCATTGCAATACAGCCAAAGATTTGGGAAAATGTGCAACTGTGATTGTCTTGATTTTGCAAATAGGAATGGCTACTTTTCCCAGACAAAAAGGGTAAGTGTTCAGTGGGAATTCTATTTAAATTTGAATTCTATTTAAAAACATTTACCGTTACCAAAAAGTAGCCTGCCCAGTGAGGGGACAGGATTTTAACTGAATGGCCTTTCCAAACAGTTACAAATTAAACTAAGTTGGTCAGTGAGGAAATTCGGTCATGTATATTTCTGGTCTCCATCCCTACTCTTGTCACATGGGTCCCTATTAAGGAAGGAAAAGGGGGGTCATTTGACAAGTTAAATAAGTGAACCTCACTCTACAGGAAATTTTCTTCAATTATTTATTTTGTTTCTGTAGGGACCAGGAGGAAGCTAAAGAATAGGTAAAGAAAACTATTTTACATAAGACTTATCCCAGAGTTAACATGTTTCTCTTTGGATTCACATATTTGACCACATTTTGCATGGAGAAATACCTCTGTAGCCTTATCTGCAAAATCAGCCCCATGAGGCCCTTCTGAGTTCCTGCCCTCACAAGTGTGACTCTACCCAATGTGTTAGGGAAACTTCCAGAGGTAAAATATATTTTCTGGGGACAATTTTTTCTCCGTGGCCTAGAATTTACATTTGTACTCCTTTATGGTTTAATTGCTTCCCCTGCTCTAATAGAGTAGGAAGTAAATCTTCAGCCATAATCATATATAAATACAAAGTAATTCTCATATAACCAACAGAAGTTAGAATTACTACTAGAATAATTGTGTCAGTGGATAGATGTCATCAATGCCATTTACTGTGTTGCCCTGATGTCAAGCTTCTCTTCTTGCTGAGGATAATTTGTGACATTTTTGCCCTTCTTCAGGCCATGTGCAATGGGAGTGTCCTAGAAATGCAGCATTAGAAGAAAAAATCATCTGGCTGCTAGGTTAGGAGCAGGGTCCTTGTGTTCCCTGCGGGCACGCCCAGAAGAAAGAGCAGACATCTTGTCTTAAGATGGTTAAAGCCCTCAGCCCTGTGTATGGGAGGCCACATTCCAGGAAAGGGAATAGTACTAGTACTAAGGAAAGGCCCTAGTACTCCCTGATGAAGAGAAAATAGTGAGTAAATTACTAGGGGGAAAGAAGCCCTCCACAGTCTCGGGGCACTGAAACAGCATTGCTCGGGCAGGGCCCTAGCTGTGCTGTCCTCAAAGGGCTAGGCCCTGGGCCCAGGGTCTTGCTCTGCTTGTAGCCTTCTGTGTGCTCTCCAAGACACGGTTAGAACCTCTTGGGTATCCACCTGAAGATGGCGATCATTAACTATTCAATATTACTTGAGCAGTTGACTATGTGACAGAAACTATGCTAGACATTGGGATATATGGATAACTCAGGCATAATTTCTCTTCTTCAGGAGCTCACGTCTGGAGGGGGGAAAGCACATAAATACATTACATTTGGCAACTAACTAGAGTTCAGGAAAGAAAAAAATGGGGTGCTAAAATTCTTCTGCACTACCATTATAAATTGCACAGAGAGCTACAGTTTATATTTCCATGCCCTGGTTCTTAGTACAGTTTCCTGAGTTATGTTTGAGAAAAAGGTATGATACTTTCTGCAGGGATGACGATAAAGGATTTTTGTAATTAAAATGTTGAATATGTAGAGAAATCTGGTTCGGTATATACACAAATGGTAGGAGCACATTTGTAGTAACAAGTGGATTCTGTAATATGAATAGCCTGTCTATATTGCTACAGGCAAAAAACCTTTATAAGAAACCCTAATCTGTATTCTTAGGTATGTGCTGGAGTCTACCCTTTGAAAACACTTGCAAAGGCAAGAATTTCCTTTAAAAAAAATCACTTCTGTGAAGGTCAAGGTCTGCCCAACAGGGTGGGCAGAAAGTACCTTTATCAGCAAAATGTAAAATGTGTTTTAGTACCTCATCTAACATGTAATCAGATATCTTTTTTTCTTTTTTGAGACAGAGTCTCACTTTGTTCCCCAGGCTAGAGTGAGTGCTGTGGCGTCAGCCTAGCTCACAGCAACCTCAAACTCCTGGGCTCAAGCAATCCTGCTGCTTTAGCCTCACGAGTAGCTGGGAGTACAGGCATGCGGCACCAAGCCCGGCTAATTTTTTTCTATATATATTAGTTGACCAATTAATTTCTTTCTATTTATAGTAGAGACGGGGTCTCGCTCTTGCTCAGGCTGGTTTCGAACTCCTGACCTCGAGCAATCCGCCCGCCTCGGCCTCCCAGAGTGCCAGGATTACAGGCATGAGCCACTGCACCCGGCCTGTAATCAGATATCTTTATACAAGTTACTCTTCAGCCTCAGTGTCCTTGCTCATAAACTTGGAAGATTTGTCCTGGCCCTTTACTTCTGAGGGTATAAAATGAGGTGTTATTGAAAAAGTATAGAAAGTTAAAAAAGAAAAAAAGCTATGTTCCATTGTCTCTGAAATAATTCAGAAAAGGTTTGGGTTTTTCTGTTTTGCTTTTAGTCTTACCTGCTATACACTGTCTACTTCCTACCCTAGCTTTCCTTTGTCTATCCTTGGGCCTCAAAAGGCTGCTGCCAGCCTGGGCAATAGCGAGAAGCCTGGGCAACAGGGAGACCTAGTCTGTACAAAAAAATAAAAAATTAGCCAGGGGGTGATGGCACATACCTGTAGTTCCAGCTACACTGGAGGCTGAGGCAGGAGAATCCCTTGAGCCCAGGAGCTGGAGGTTGCAGTGAGCTATGATGATGCCATTGCTGCCCCTCACCTGTTCTCTCACTTTTCCTTCCCACTTTTGTTCTCTTATGCTTGTTTTTAGTCAAGATCAATGCTGTTTTCACCAACTCTAGGCTCATCTGCTGTTCTTACACTAACCTGTTTCCTTTCTGCTTCCTGATAACCCCTTGTCACTCTCTGAGAACCCAACAAGGAAAGCTTGAAACAAAATGAAACTGACTGCAAGAAATGTCATAATTCAAGAAAGGGAATGGAGCAGGTGGAAAACTGCAGATGGAGCTCCCCTTAGCCTGAGCTGGGTGTGGTGGTGTGGCCTTACTTAGAAAGCACTGCTCAATTATCTCAAGTAAAAGAGTAGGACTCCAAATAATCCAGAAGTGCAAACAATACTGAAATAACTTACGCAGGGATATGTTAGAAAAGGGATTCTGGAGTCAATTCAGCAAACCACAAAATGTCAATCCTTAAGGCAGTCTTAAAAACATATATAGTCAAGAGGTTTCTAAAACCACAAAAATCTAATTACCTACAGAGCTTCTTCTTCAATTAATAATATGTGATAAACAAAGGGCATACCATGAAATAGAAGTCTTCCTCCCATTCCAGACCCTACTATCATTTCCCCAAAATATCCCCATCAACACTTTCTTGTATATCCTTCCAAAACTGTTAAAAATATATCTATCACCAAAAAACAAAAGAAAAACCTGGGACCATTCTCTTATACCCTATTCTGTATCTTGCTTTTTTAAAAAATACAACCAAATGTTTAGGAGTATTATGGTATTATAGCCTTTAGTGTAGTTCTTTGGTTGTAGGCAACAGAAACTTATTCTGGTTAACCAGCATAAAGGGATTTTATAGGGAGGATAAGGATTGAAGGGAAGATTAAAGAACCACCAGGCTAGAAATATAAGAATGAGGAAACTCAAGGGGATTTTATTAGGTGGAAATCCTTAAAAGTCTTGCCCCAAATCTCCTACTTTCTGCCATCATCACTCGGCTTAAAATTCAAAATCCCAGACAAGTTTAGTGTCTCATACTCCCTCCCAATGGGGAGATTAACTCTCTCAGAGTTGAAAAGGTCTTCCAAAGACCCTTTCAACTTAACTATTGGGAGGGAAAGCATTTGGATTTGATATCCCCCCTAGCCACCACCTCATTTAATACATAATGAGGAAGAGATGGTTCACAAGAGGAGTGGGATACTATTAGGAAAATGAGAATGGATGTTGGCAGGTCAAAAAATGAAAAACATTCACCACTGAGACTTCAGGACTTAAAGACTTGGATCACTGTGCATACAGTTGCACAGACGTTCATAATTTATTTAACCATTCCCTAATGATGGATAATTGAACTGGACAGGAAGAAAACAGCCATATGAGGACAAGCTAAAAAAAAGATTCTTGAGGCTGTAAATGGCAATGCTTCGTTCTCATTCATTAACTTTACTTTTAAGAAAAAAAGTCTTGTATCTTTCCCAGTGCTAGGACACATGTTCAATGCTTAGTAACCACATATTCAGTTAGTGAACAACTGTTTTGTTAAAGAGGACTCCATCTATCTTTCTCTGCGTCTGGTGCAGCGATGGCTTTGGCACTGAGAATAAGTACTCTCCTAGCACCATCTGCTGGCAGTGGAAAACCATTTCCCTGAATCTTCGCCTCCAGTCGCATTCGCTAGTATTGTCAGCCCTAAAATTCCTCCTCCCCTTAATATTGTTGGTACCACAGAATCTACCTTCTGTCCACTGCCAAGGGAAATCACAAAATTGACTTTTGTTTTTTGCTTACTATTTAATGGATGCTTTACACTTTGGTGACCCTTCTGTTCTGCCTCTTTACAAATAAGACACATGGTGAAGTACTTAAAGAGAATGAGCCTCCCTTTTAGAGTGTAACGCTGAAGATCGTATTGCCTTTTTGTTACTGAAAGCTCAGCACTTGTCTTCAAGGCTACATCAGAAGAACAAGGACAAGTGGTTTGAAGGAAAGAGGAGTTTTTTAATATGCCAGCAAATGAGAATGGAGACTCCTGTCTAAAATGCCATCATCCTCCTAATAAGCAGAAATACAGAGCTTTTTAAAAGGAGGCCATTCAGCTTCAAGCAACTGCTGTTCAACTATAGTTGATGATTCTGATCGTCCCATCTCTGTCCCACTTCTCCCCAAAACAAGACCTCTGCCAGGACCTCTACCCAGACAGTTCCATTGACCCATCTCCAGTAGCACAAAGAACATTCTTCTGCCCCTCCTGACCAGTGGCCTGAGGC